CGCACGCAGCGATGGATAGAGATACAAAACGTTTGCAAGGTAACCAAAGCGGGCTGACAATCGACCGAGCCAGAGGACGGAGAGACAGAGCCGACAAACAAATAAACAAGCCGACAGGCCAGAGAAAAGCCGACAATTGCGATTACGATTGCGATTGGGGCCGGAATTGGGGCTGGGACTGGAATTGGGATTCAAATTGTGGTTGCGCTTGTGAGCGCCAGCCACTTAGGCACAGAGCAATCAAATCAGATGAGCAGAATGAAATTTTAATTTAATGAATGAATACGAAAATTTTTGGTTAGTTGATTAGCTGTGAAGTCGAAAGGTCATGTGCGCCCCCAACAGGAGAGAAACCAAACCGTTAAGCCCAACAAAGCCGCTGCTGAGGTGAGTGCTGATTAAATGGAATCGCTGCCAAGGTAAGTAACCGTGCCAGGCCACGAACGAGCAGCAACTTGTAATAACATTTTGTATCTTTTGTAGTCGATTGCATTTTCAATTTTCAATTATAAAACTTGCCGCCTGCCGGCTGCCGGCTGGAGGTGCTCGCAAAGTTTTAAATTCCGACTGCGCCTGACAATGTCATTCATCATAACACGTTTAGCCGTGAGCTTATTAGATTCCACTTTTGTACCCAAGCGCGTTTACAAGTTTCTCTTCTTGTTTCCCATTTTATTCAGCTCTGTTGTTTTCATTTTTTTTTTTTTTTTTTTTTTTTTCAGTCGAAGCCAAAGCACACGACTTGCTGCCTGGCAAACCACAGAACTTACGCATTTGGCATCCTAAAGAAGTTGCTCCTTGTCAGTGTGAATGTGTGTGTGTATGGGTGTGTGGTTGCACAGGGCACGTTTCGTATGTGTAGACAGACACATGCACACACACATGCATACACATGTCACGAATAAAAACAATTTATCATTTAGCTTATCAAGCGAGGCCTAACGTCCATTACTTTGCGGACGCTATGCGCAGAATTGTTTTTTGATGATAGCCATGGCCCCCAGCTAGCAGTACAGCAGACAGCCAATGTAAATAGTTAAGCAAATGCCCGAGAAATGATTATTGTGCTATTTAGCTGTGGCTGGAGTGAACAACTGACTCTGGCTTTGATTAAAATGCATTGCATATTCTCAGGTATTATATACAGGTTTTACATGTATGTATGTATATGTGGAATGTCTGCAAGTGCCGGCAACTGCATGCACTCACAGTCAAATATTGAAATGCCTCTGCGGCACTAGCGCGCCGCACCGTCTGTGCTGCTCTAATAACCGACTTGTGCCCGTACGGCCTGGCCGGGCCTGGCCCGATGTGTAACTGAAAACCAACAATTATGCATGCCAAACCGCAGAAACCGATGCACCGGCGGCTACAGAAGCGGCCGCAACAACGCCAACTGCAGCGGGAGCGGTACAGTCGACGGCGACAGCCACATCAGAATTTGCATAACTTTGTATGATTTTTCAACAGCCAACGCCACAAAATCATTCAAACAGGCACTGGCAAACCAGGCAAAAAGTTTAGCATAAATATTGACTATCGTATACCCAGCAATGCTATAGAATATGCGACATAGGTGAGCTGTTACTTGAATACCCAGATTACATTAATCTTTTTCCCTGTTGGTATTTTGGTTTTGTTTCCAGCCACATAGTACAGATTGTAATTGCAGTGTAGGGAGTACCTATAAGAGTTAATAGGATTTACTAGCTAGAAAGCCTTACAAAGCCTTTGTTGAAATTTCAATTCTAAATATGCAATATGCATATTGAATTTCCGCACATAACTCGAGTTCTTGGCAAATGCTGCGGTCGTTTATCAAATAACCCGTTTCAAGTATATTATAAAGGGTAAAAACGCAGCTATCCTCTTGTACTCACACACACACACACACACACGCCTTTACCCGGTGTCAGTGAGCCGTCAACATTTCAACTTGTCATGCGAGCAGACACACACTCGCACACACACACACACACACGGATAGAGAAAGTGAGCGCACAACCCGCTTGGAAAGGCGAAGACGCTGGCCTACCTCCAATTTGTCGGGCTTCAGCGGGCATTCGATATCATGGCTTTTGTTGCATACTTTTGTGACTGCAACAACGGCAACGGCAACAACAACAACAACATTGAGAGCAACAGCAGCGACAGCAGCAACGTATTATTTCAGCTACGTTTTGCGGAAATGCAACTGAAAACTTGCAATTTGTTTGACGTTTTGGTATTTTTGTATGAATTTGTAATGCCCTGGACTTCAACACCTGCCAACGGCATTACAATATTGTTTGTTTGCTGGTTACGTTTTTATGTTCTTGTCGTCGCTCTGCCTGATGAAGGGCCGTGTCCATTTCAATGTGATACCCGCTGATCCAATCGAGGTTGAATCGGGCTGGGCTGAGCTACTATTTACCATTTAGTTTATTGGTATTTAAACGGAAAAGCCAATGCTGCAGGCTCTTACACACACGCGCACACACACGCATACACACGCATACACACACGTGCGGAAACACATATAAACAGCGACTCACATGCGTATTTATGTTATGCTGCCGCAGTAATACAAAAAGGTAGCAACTTTTAATTGAAAAACTTGAGCACTTACAAGTTGCCAACAGCAATGGGGAAAAGTCAAGGGGAGTGCAGTGAAGGTTCACATTCAGCGAAATATATTGTATTTCCGCGCCACTCACTACACCTACGCACACACTCTCACTCTCTCGCTCTCACTCTCTCTCGCTCGCCTTCTATTAGCAATTGTAGAAGAGTCGCAGTAATAGAGCAGCTGCGGCAATGCGCGGGGGCCTCTGTGCAACGATGAAGGCGCGTTGTCGCCGGCATTACTCAAGTTGTTAGCAATGTTTACAAACACAATAAGCAAATACACTGACGATAGCGACAACAACAACAGCAACAACAACAACTCGAAGTGGAGTATCAGAAACAGCAGCGACAACTGTAAGCGAGTCACCTGCACAGGTGTTGCAGACTTAAAGACGCCGCCGCCGTTGCCGTTGCCATTGCCTGCCGTCGCAGTTTCTGTTTCTGTTTACACAGAAAGTTTTTCTGCGTGGGCCGGCGTTGACTTAGCCGAGCAGGCGAATAGTTATAGTTGCCACTGTTAGCTGGAGCATGCAGCTAGCTGGCTAAGTAAAGTCTGCCAGCAGAAACGTGCGAATAAGTTTCAGCATTTGGTAGCTACATACTAACACAAATATTTACCAGCCGGTTAACTAAGCAGCAATGCGATTTCATTTAAAACGAACTGAGGAAATCGATAAAGCTGCAGAGTATGCTGTGAGGATTAAGAAGAAGATGAAGAGTCCCATTAGAGAATTCTCATATAAAAGTCAATTTTCATTCAATAATAATGCCTCTTAACCACTGTGCGCACACACACACACAAGCACACGTGTATCGCGTCAAAGTGAAAAGCTTTTAACTGTCTGTCATTAACTGAAATTGGTTGAGGCCGAACAACCGAATATTCAGCAACAGCTGCATAATTAAAATTATGATTTGGCTTTTGCTACCAAATCTATTTTGAGGGAGCCCTAATTGGTTTATGCCTAATGTGCAACTATATGTGCCGAATGCTGTCCATACGGCAGCAACTGTTGCAGCTGCGACGGAGCAACCTGCCGCAGTGATAACGCTGCACATGCAAATTGCAGCTCGCGCAGCGCCAACCGCATTGATTATCGAGTGTCGACAATAGCAGAAGGGGGTCCACACCGATTGAAAGCCAACAGCAGCGCCACCACCACCAGCAATGCCCAAAGCCACGCGGCCTCAGCTTAGTATTTCATATAAACCGTAAGCCTATTAATAGCCCCCGTCTGCGATCAGACAAACAATTAAAATTGACGGCACTTTTAAGCGTTCGCCCAGCGCTTGACCCCCCCTTCCGACCAAAGGGGTCCGCAGGGCTGCCCCAACAATGGCAGCCATTGTTCAATTGGGCGTAAATGTGTTGTTGTTGCTGTTCTCGCACAGCACGTGCTAACCCTTTGGCTATTGCCGCTGTTGCTCCTGCTGCTGCTCCTGCTGCTGCTGCTGTTGCTGTTGCCCATGGCTCAGACAAGACGGCGATTTGCCAGCTGCCTGGACACGTCAATTAGTTGCTGGCCAGTTTGTCGCTGCTGGCCAACACACAAAATGCTTTGTTATTTGCGGCAGATTATGGCAGCTTAGGCAGCGATTAAAATGTGTGCATGGTATATCCAATCAATTTATATGTAACCCGCTCAAATAAATTAGCTCTGAACAACAGTTGCTCTTCGACACTTAATAGCAAGTTAGTTCAGAGGACTTCCCATTCGTTCCTTAAGCATAAAAGCTTTTATGCAGCTTTACACATATGTAGCTTACAAAGTCGTGAAGCTCGATAAAGCTTCCACCAAAAAAGCTATTCCTCATTAGCCGAAACAGCCTACCAAAAGCTTTAACAAAGTTGTTATACTCGACGAGCACAAAGCTGTGCATTTCCTTTTCCTGCGAAGCTTTAAAGCTCTAGAAAAGCTGTCTCCATTTTCAAAGTTTACTTTATGCATTTATTAACTCAAATGGGTACCAATAAAAATTCAGCTTTTTGCAATTTTATGAATTTTATTTAATCATAATAAACAATGCAAATCCAAAGCATTAAAATGTAAACTTTATACTTAACATACGCTTCAAATAACGAGCTATTGACCATAATTTCTATGTTTGCATTGGCACATACATATGTGTGTGTATATATATATGCATTGTAATATATGCATATTCCATTGTAAATATATGCACCTCATAGAATAATGCAATATTCGCTTCGAAACTTTAAATAACTTTTATGTGTGTACGAGTTAACGCATTTTGATCAGTTTAGATATCAATTGGTATATAGTTAGTTATTAGGTATATATGTATATAAGTATTGGTATATAAGTATTCTTGTGTATATAATATAATGTTAATTAATTTGGTCATTGTTTCATATATGGAAATTGTTAATTCCTTTACCCATAATACTTTTTAGTTAAATTTTAAATTGTTGCTGTTGCTTAGGTTAGATTGAAACTCGAATTTAATACGCATAAATTCGGTTTAACGCTATACGTGTATATGCATATGTATATGTATATGTATGTATGTGGCTTAGTATAATATATACTCATATGTACTCATTGTATATGATTATGTATTGGCATAGAGTATTGTAGCATTAAATAGTATTTTCTTGTTTTAGGTCTGGTCTAGTCTGGTCTGGTTGCTCGGTGTACACGTTTTACAATAGTGTTTAATTGGACCCTTTAGGTCTTGTATTGGGCATAGATGTGTGGCATTGGTGCATTGGAGTTCCGTAAAGTGAAAAAAAAACGTTGGCTTAATATCAATAACAATCAACAATAACAATTAAATAAGCTAATTCTCAGCCCATCCCAATTCATTCAAATTCAACTTTGGTTACTAAATCTTAAACCGAATCGCATAACAATTACCAATTCCATGTATGTCCTAACATTATTGTCGCCTGCATTTGTGTGTGAGTGTGTGTGAGTGCATCAATTCAAAATAAGTGCTGATACGAATACAAAGAAATACAAAAATGTAAATATTTGTTGTAATAGAAATAGAATATTTGGTCTGTTTGCTTTGTTGAAATGCGAGGTGCGGAGGAAGGGTTGGAAATCGTGTTTAAATATGCGTAATACATATATATATATATATATTCTATATTTGACTTGTTTGCCTTGCTAATATTATAATAACAATGCGAAAAATGCAAAGCTCGTATATATAATTCATTTATATATCATTTGCTTGCCCTGGCCACACACCCACATGCGAGTGTGCTCCCAGCTTGTGTGTATAAGTATGTGCTCAAGTATTTACATTACATAACGAAATCACCCAAACGCTGCGTTTAAAATTAAGATCTCTCTATCTATCTGTCAGTTAGGCTCACTGTCTGTGGCCTCCCCTGACCACCACATGCTGACCCTTTTCTCACTACTATCACATGGATGTCAAGAATCTATGCCTGCCCCTGGCCAGCGCGAGAGCGCATTCACATGAGGGCGCAGCGGTTCCAGCGGGATGTGCTGCGCACGCCGCCCTCGCCGCCCTCGTTGAGAGCCATCGTCTTGGAGCGCATCAGATTGAGGTCGGTGCGTATGCTGGGCCGACGTGCATTGGGCGTGACTACGCCGCAGGCATCACTGAAACGTCGCTTGATGGATAGAGCATTCTTCTTGCTGCCGCCCACGGCCGAGCCATGCGGAGGCAGTGGCGAGGGCGCGCCAAACACGGACACGAGGCGTCTGTGCTGGTTGGGCGTCATCTCCAGGGGCAGATTGGAAACCGTAAATAGGGCATGGAACAGATCATCGATGCGATAGTTCTGGCGTGCCGAGCACTCCACGAAAGCGCAGCAGTTGTCCTGGCCAGCTATATAGCCCATCACCTCGTCCAGCTGAACGGTTCTATAGGAATAATGAAATCAAATGATGAATTCATGTGAATCTAGTGAAACCAAATCCAATGTATTATCATCAGCCTACTTGAATTCACGATCACATTTGTTGCCAGCCAGAATCATGGGTATTTTGGGGAGGCTCTTCTTCTTGAAGCCCGAGCCTGGATTCAGAGCCGCCCACTTGGTCTCGAGTATGTTCTCTCGCAGGCGCACCACCTCCTCGAAGGACTCGCGCGAATCCATGCTAAATACCAATATAAATAGATCGCCTGCAATACAAATCGATGCAATCGAATGAAATATTTAACATTATTTGATTTAGTTGATGCAAATTTATTGCTTTTATATTGGATCCCATACCGTGCACACACACAAACACGCGCACACACATGGGGAGTATAGTAATCTGTGTGTGCATGTGAAGGAACAAATATCTGACTTCGCCAGCTGAGCTCCAGCTGTGCCTGATTCTTATGATAATTTATAGCACATTAAATAGCGCCGGGAACTCAGCAGCTTAAGTGATGAAACGTGCGTTTGATATGATTGYGGCTAACACTCTCACACACACACACATAGACACTCATAGTGATATACACACTCTCGTATATTGAGAGACTCATACATTAAGAACAGACATGTGACTCACCCGTTAGAAATGACAAACGACGCATTGCGGGAAACGGATGATAGCCTGAAGTATCCAAAATATCCAACTGAAAGACCTCATTTCGTATGCGATACAATTTACGATGAAACTCCTCAATAGTCGGCGTATAGGCCTCCTCAAAGCGATTGCCCAGAAAACGTGCCACAATCGACGACTTGCCAGCGCGTGACGACCTGCAAAGTGGACAGACAGGCCTTTCAATACAGACACCGATTCGGCCGAGTCAACTCGCTTTGATTATCCGAATACCCACCCAAGCATCACAAGTCTATAGCAGTTCTTGGCAGAGGGCAGGCTGTCGTCGCACAGCGAGAGTCCTGCGCCCGGGCCGTAGATGAAATCGTCGGCCTGCTCAATGGCATCCAGATTGGAGTGGTGCTCCAGCATGTGAGCCTGATGGAGCTCAGCGGTGGTCACAATGCGGCTGCTGGTTACGCCGCCGTTGCTGCTGCCCGGTGCATCCTCCAGGAACGTGACCACATGGGCTGCTCCGGCTGCTCCGGCAGACTGCGGTGGATCATCGGTGGGCGTGGATCTGTGGTTCGCACCGGCTGCGTTTGGCTGTTGATTGCTATTGGATTTATTGCGTGCCCTATTGATGCTATTACTGTTGCTGCAGCTTTTGGCTGCCTGTGCCTGTGCCTGCGCCTGTGCCTGTGGCTGTGGTGGTAATGTCGTTGGCGTTGAGCTTTGTCCCGGCTCGTTTAGTGCGACGTCGACGTAGTTGTTGTTGTTGCTGCGCGCACAGAACCAATTTTTGCAGCGATACATTTCGTTTGTGTCATTTCCGCCGCTTTAATGGACAACGGCGTGGCCTCGCTGCTGACCCGCTACGCCCGTTCGACAAGCATACGCCGTCCGCTTATTACGCATACGCCGAGTGCAACGCGCAATAGGGCTACCTGCGCTCACTTTATTACCTGTTTTTGCGCTGCCACAAATTTCGTTTGGTGTCGCATGCAATCACTTTCTGTATGCGATTTGCATTTTCAATCAGCCAACTTTGTCGTGATGAACATTTACATATAAAGCTGCGCTTCCGATTTCTCAATCTGTCAGAAAAAAACAGAACTTTTACAGCTTGCTTGCAGCTCTTTTTGCAGCTTTGGACTCCTCGCTTGCTTTATCCTTGTTTAGCTGCAAAGAGTAATGCATACATTTAACACGCAAACACTTAAAAATGAAATTCGCTACGCGAATTGCATAAAGAATGGCAGAGGATGGCTCCCGCCCTGCGCTTGAGCTGCCCTGCGGGTAGCAGTGGCCAAAGCTGCCACCCAATTGGGTAATTGCACAGACACGGCGGTCTATTCCAGTCGAGTAAACCACATAAAAATGGCGCATACAAATTTCAAATTGACTGCACTGGCACTGTCCATTAAAAGGGCTTGGCGTGGCCCTCAGCCAAGCACCATTTGGCTTCAATAATGACCATCTTGCAACAAATCTAATTAACTTTGTTTTGGCTCGCTACGTGTTCAGGATACTCCAGCAGCCGCCGCAGCAGCAGCGATGCCCCGTCGCCTCCGCTCCGCTGACGTTGATTCAAATGCAGGCGGAACAACAAGGCAATGGACGGTATCAAACCAGAAAGTACCGACCGTAATCGAGTGCAGCAAGTGCCTTGGCTCGAATTTCGCCCATTAGAGCGAGTGCCCAGCTTCTGTTCACAATTTTTTTTTTGCTCCTCCTCTCTGTTTCTGTTTTCTTTTTTTTAATACCAGCGCCACTTTTCAAAGGAATTCGGTTGGAAAATATGCAAGAACAAGAACTCGCCACATAATGAGTACATAAGTATGTGTGTATATGTGTGTGTGTGTGGGTGCGAGTGGGCGTGTGTTTGTGTATGTGTATGTAATGCTCAGTAACTCGTTCATACAGCAACGCCCAACGACCTTGCCCGAACCCACTCTATTGTTGCTTGCTTCCATGAAGCTGGCATTTCGCTGTGGCTCTTGGGTGCAGAAATGCCATTTAAAGAACTACTTGAAACGATATCATAATTGAATTCGGCTTCCCTCGGTCCCCGCTCGCAGCCATTCTCATGTGAATTTGGTAAGAAAATACGCAAATTACTAAGGGCCGAGAGGAACACAAGTAAACGCCTGAAGACAATGGAGACATTTGAAAGCAACGCACACACACAAAGCCAACGAATTCAGCAATATGCGAGAAAAGACAAACAACTTAAACATTTTTACAACTGTCAAATACCACGCACTTGGGATGGGCGGCTGGCTTAGGAAGATAAATTCAGGGGAAATGCTTGCAGGCCATTGAAATTTATATAATGTAACGTTTCAAGAGATTTTTGTCTACAAAAACAACTAAATTATTTATAATTCATTTCACAACCTTTACGAGTCGGCTAATATACATAATTAATTAGGTCTGCTCAAGTGCTGCTCTATAATCACATTTGCTATTCCTATACTGTCAATCCATACATTGCTAGTCTACGCTTACATGCAATCTAATTACTTTCCTCTTTACGTGCACCATGAAACATCAAATCCATCAGCTTTACCTGTAGGGTATAAAAAAAAAAAAAACAATCAAGTAAATGACAGCGCACTTCAAGCTTTGCACCTGGCTAAAAGCTGCTAAGAGCAGGGCATACTACTCTGCTGTAATTCATTTCAAGGCATTGACAGCGTAAATTAGAGCTGAGTTCCATACATAAAGAGTGGCTTTAACTAAAACTGTAGCTCAACTACCTTTAATTCAGTTCCAATGCTACCGAAACTATTTTGAATTCAAGTTTAGCTAGGCTAGACATTTAGGCAGTTAGCTAGTTACGCGCCTTTACTATGATTATTTATTTAAAGGATAAGTCAGTACCTAAGCAAGCCGTTAACCTGTGTGAACTTTTGTTGCTGCATACTTTTTTGCCGTTGCTTACAGTTTATAAATTTAACTGCATGTTTTTTTTTAGTCAATTAATAGGGAGCTACGAGCTCTACAGCGTTTGCCATATATCCCTGATGAGTTTCAAATAATATATGAGACTAGAGCCAAATGCGGACAATTACTTAGCCGGCATTAGACAAGTTAGGTCTCCAAATAACGATTGATGTGTTCCGAGTGCACACAAATTATTCAAAGTTCCCACTAGCACTTATAGTGTGTATATGTATGTGTGTGAGTGCGACTATTTGTGTGTGTTTGAGTGCCACCCAAACATTGTTGGTGACGCCTCTGGTTGTGCCACATGGCTGCCAGCTTGCAATGTGCTCAGCAATTTTTCATATATGCTTACAGTACGTGCATATAAATGCGCAAGGTGTCACACCCAACCTGAACCGAAACTGTGATCCAGATCCAGATCCAGAGCCAGAGCCAGAGCCAGAACAGCCGCAAGTTGTCATGTGCCAAGTCGAACTAGCAAATGCAATCGACACCTAATCTGGCGCGTACATCTGCGTTTTATGTGCGGAGCGTGGCGAATAACAACGCCAGTTGAATAGCTGCCTGGGAGAGGGAGGAGGCGGGCCGGCTAGCTCGTGAGCATCCCATTGCTAGTCAAAAATAATATGAGCATGTTGTGCGGTTTCAAGCTACACAGATAAGCCCCGGGAAAGAGCGAATGCTCGCTCACACTCGCTGGCTCGCTTGCTCACTAGCTCAGAAACCGCAAACAAACAGCTAGCATCAATTACAGACCAAACAGTGAGCGAGATAATCGATGAGAGCGACTATTCGAGTATATTTGCTGGGGTTATCAACGCCCAGCATCGGGCGAGTACCTGTACAACCCGCAGCACCGAAAGGGCCTCAGTTGCGCATTGAGAAGTCGAGAATTAGAACGCCAATTTATTAAGTTCCCTTGCAAAGTCTATAATGTCAACGACTCGAACGAATGTCGCCGCTACCCATGGCGACAGAAGCCAACAACAACAGCAACAACAACAGCAGCAGCAGCAACAACAAGAACAAGTCATTCGAGAAAAGTACGGAAAATGCCGTATTGGAAAGCTGGTGAGCACAGTTGGCATTGTCGTAGCCCTGCTGCTGGTCGTGGGAGCCATCTATATGCATGTAATCCAAAAACATCGTCTTGGCCGCCTAAATATTGAGCTGGCGGCAGCTGGGCGCAGAGACGGCGAGGTGGAGCTGCCCTTTGAAGTGGTCACTGTGCCAGCCGTGGGTAAGTTGAGCTACACTGCTAATTGGGAATCATTGGCGGAGTAGCTGCAATCGTTACAATATGCTACGGTTCAAGGTTCCCTTGGCTCCAGCCACAGCCAACAATAATGAGTGAAACTAATTTATGATGATGTTGACATTATATATTAATGAACTTGAATGGTAAAAACACATATAAATTCTTAACTTGGTCGGCACTTTGCATAGAAAACTATGCAGGTGCTTCCGAAGCTAGTTCACTAAAATTTGACGCCGAAAAGTTGAACCACTATGGATAATTGTATAGCATATCATTCATATTTATTTGCTTACGGATTTTAGCTGCGTTAGGCACGACGCTGCTTAGCGTCGACTGTCTGGAGTGCATCGCGGCGACGGCCACAGCAAAGCGGCCGGCGATGTGCCACTCGACTCCATGCAGCATCTACCGGATCTCAAGGCCGTATTGGCAGGATGCGACTCGGGAGGCGACGCACAGTGGTCCAGAGGGTAAAGCGAATTCATTGAAGGAACAGCTGCAATGCTTGCTTTGCTTGACTTTCGACTAACCCAACTGAACACCATTCCAGATTATGAGATTTGTGTATCAAATCCGGACTGTGCCACGGAAACTGTGCGAAGCTTCATAAGTTCTTATGCCAGGGATTGCGACGGCGATGGCGTGATCCGGTGTCGAGATCATATAATGCTGCACCAACTGGGACCCACTGGCTGTATGATGGGCACGCTGCCGCCATTGTCCAACAACCGCATGACCGATTGTCTGAGAGCGAAAGAGCTTGAATAGAGATGCGTCTTTGTTTGCTCAGAGAACAAGAGCATATGTAAATCATGGCTTTTATTGATTCTAGCAGCGGGCGGGCTACCAGTAGTACCAGAAAAAGGTTGGCAAAAACAGAGCTAGAAAATCGTGGAACAATAGCAGCGCACAGAACTTGTCATCATGGAGGCTGGACCTCACCTCGCCTTTGCCCAGTATTGTTTGCTCATGATACGCCATAATCTGTAAGTGGCAAGTGCATGGTGAGTGGGTGTGGCATGGTTGTGTGTTGGGGAAAATGTGAAAGTGGGTCGATTGTTGTTGTGGTCATCAAAAGGCAAATACAACAATATAGCAAGCAACAGTGACTTACGGGTACCACCAAGCAGACTTGACCAAAGATGAACAAGTAAAAGGGCCAGCGGACCAAGAGGACAACGGTAAACATGATGCAATATACGCAGAATACAAACACACAGAGGCTATACATAAACAATAGGGTTCCATAATTCGTGAGGTCAAACTGCGGGAATGAGCGACATTAGAGTCAAATGCAGTCAGCATACTGTTGGCACTATTTGACTTACCGGCAGAAATATTACCACTATCAGGACCACAATCATGATTACGAGCACGAAGACGAAGCCAATCAGCATTAAGAGGTAGTCGCTTCGTACAGATAACAGACCGATAGCTAGGACCTGCGCCTCGACTACAACGAAAGTGACCAGCCAGTTAGCGCAGACCCGGTGCCGTAGCTGTGGGCTGACTGCGAAGACCAAGAAGAAGAGCAGGCCCATGAAGAATAGTACTATCAAGGCCGACTCGTTGCTTAAAATCACTCCTTCGCATATATGCCTGTAGACGGAATAGGGATTGCTGCAGTTGTAATCAATTGTGAGGGTAGAGCGGAAATACTACCTTGTTATTGCAAGTAAGCAGAGCCATTGGATGAAGGCGAGTACAGTGTAGACGATGAATTGAATAAAAACCCGATAAACAAAGTATCGGCGGTCCTCGGGATCCTCGATCCTATCCTTTCGAATGGAGCCGAATTTGGGGCGAAAGTCGGTCATGATTACAAAGAATTTTGTATTGTTTGCTTTGATAGTATTTAAAACTAATGTAACTAGTATCAGTCAGAAATGACAAGAAGAACAAGAAAAAACACGAAGCCTGCTTGGGTAACACAAATAAGCAGCAAACACAGCAAATTAGCGCAATAACATTTAGAAGTCCTACATAATTGAACTTTGCAAACTTTTCAATCTAGCTACATCGCGAACAAATTGAACGTCGCAAGTGTGTAATAATTAAAAGTTTACGCAGCACTTACAACATGAGGTGCCAACCGGCCACCCAGCCACCCGTCCCGGCCACCCAAACCCCTTGCCAAAGTTTGTGGCAACTTTTTAAACAAACAGCACACGACCTCAAACTTGGACATCATTGGATTTGCAATGCTTTGCAATAGCTTAATTTTAGCTCACCAAGCTTGACTCCTTGAATGGAGATCTTCGGTTGAGTAAGCAGCAAATGCTGCAATTTACTCAGCAAGGAATTTGCTGAAAAAAATAAAATAAAATAAAATAAATTAAAAATATATAATAAATCGTTTGTTTCTCTTTGCTGCTTCTACCAAGATGAAAATCGCACGCTCTTCTCTTAGTTTTCACTCAAAAGCGAACAAGAGATAATGAAAAATACTTTAGATTTTTTTTGAACGAGAACTTTTCACTCCTCAGTGCTAAAGACTCTGTTAAAGGATAAAAAAGTAAATAAAAACACAATTCAGAAGAAATGTTATTGATTCATCTATAAAATTATTGCCAACCTATATGTAGAAGTGCTTTAATGTTTAAAGCGAAATTTATTATTTTACTGTAAATTATGTTCGCTTCTTGCTCTGATAAACGACTGTTTGGCTGTTGCGTGCTCCTGGGAGAGAGTGTAATTTATATTACCACCGGGCGTATGCGTAATGCTAGCAGCGAGCACAGATGAACTTTGCATTCGAGAACTCGTTCAGGAGTCGGCCGTTGCTTTAATTTAATATTGGCATGTGTCCCTCGCCTGTGGCCTGCGAGCAGTTGATACTATGAAATGCGCCATTCGCGTTCCGTCGCTTTGATTGCCGTAGACGTAATCATTCCATCGCATGACAAGTGAATATTACTTCATTCATTCAATCAAGTGCCCAAGTGGCCCACAAAGCTAACAGAATTCTATATTAAACTGTTGTTAGCCCTTGGAGTGAGTCAATGCGCCGCATATTTAATTCAATGGAACAATTGTAACAAATTAACTAATTGCAGATGCCTATCGAGTGCTTCAAACAAATTCAAGTGTTGCCTGACTGTTCGACTGACTGACTGACTGACTGACTGAAAGCAATTACAAAACATGGTGAAGAGTTCTCACCTCGTCGCGTGGACATCCCAGGTTTCTCACGTATGCAATTCGAGTGGCCCTCGTCAAAGGTGTTGGCCAGCATCAAATCCCGCAGATTGACGCCAGAGAAAACACGCACGATGCTCAAATTGATTGCTTTATGGCAGTCAGTGTAGTGTAAAATAACTGGAATGCAGCGCAACTTGTGAAAAGAATTTGCTCGTTTCTTTTTTTGCCAGCTGCTCAATTTCGTGCGCACTTTTTGCTGCCTCTACTCCTGCCTCTACTCCTGCTGCTGCTGCGAACTTTCAGTGAGTTTACAGTGAAAACTTTGCATGCAATGCATGCAGTGCCTGTTGCCTCCCCCTACGCACCTCGCCTACCCGCTCATGCATTTTTTGTACTTTACTTTCCCGTTTTCTTTTCAATTTTTTTTTATTTCTTTTTTTTTTTTGGCAATTTTGTTTGCACTGCCACGAACGCGTCGACGAAGAGGCCAATGAAAATGTTAAAAATTTATCATACTTTTGCTTGGCTTACTAACAGGATTTACTATATGAAATTCACATGGCATTTGGCGCGCACAAAGGGTCAAAGGGTATGCAGCAAAGCCCAAAACGGCAAGCATTAAAATTATATATTTAGTAAGCTGACAGCTTACTAATACCCTGTACCATTTACCAATTGAGACACGAGAGCAGCCAGGCAGACTGAACACTCATTTATTAATTACATTGTGTCACTCGAGAGGTGTGCGTCCGCTGGGTACAGGGTATGGAAAGGGCTGCCAGCCAGGCTGGCTGCCATAGATCGCCGGCAATCAGCAAGCGTGCCACATAATTAAGTGCACATCAGAGATTAGCCACAAAACGGGCGCAACGCTCCAGCAAAGGGACCTCCGTCGGCCGCAGGACATAAATCCGGAGCAGTGTCCGTTGCTTTTATGTGCATATTTAAATACGCATCAAGCAATGGGAAGCTGACACGAGACTAGAACGACGAAAGGCTACAGCAACAATGTCAACCGACGGCAAAGACAAAGACGACTTTAATGTCTCTGTTATGGCGATGGCCGCCAGCTGAATGCTCAAAGCTGAGGCGCTTCATTAATTTTATAGTCGTCAAGGAGGCTGCGATGCGCCAAGAGCCAAGAGCTGGTGGAGGAATCTGAGGGCGGGAGGCGTGCGTTTTGCGGTGTGGTTTTTCGCTGTTCCTGGGTTGGCTTTGAACCTGTGAGGCTGCTTGAACAAAAGTTTTGATTGTCTAGCCACGCACTAATACACACATCCGACCAAAGCACACAGCACGCTATTCACATGAAAGTGGCCATGTGTGCGTGCGTGTGTGTGGGCTGCCAACTCAAGCGGTTAAACGTGAAACTTTTTTAATTAGAGTTGTGGCGGGCAACGCATGCCACGCTGGCGCATTATGTAAACAATTTTCGTAATCTTGGGCGCATAGTTTGGACGCGTCCTGGAGTGCTTCCTGGCTGCCTGACAGCACTGGCTGGACTGCTTCGACTGGCAGCCAGCCTGTCACGGCATTTGGCTTCATGCTGCAGCCAAGGCCAATACAAATATCGACGCAGAAATGCTCATCAAATTGGCAACAGTAGCCCGTAGCTCCTATATTCGTGCCAAATAAAATTCATGAGTCTTTGTAATAAAAACGCCACAGCGTAGCTGGCGCGCGCTACAAAGGACCACAAAGGACCGCCACGCAGCACCAGCAACCAGGACAACAGCAAGAACAACCAATGAGCCGCTGAGCGAAGCAGCTGTCACCACTTGGCAATGACAATGGCACCCTCGAGAGCAGCGCACATAAATTCGAGGCATCCTTTGTGCAGCGCTAAATTCACAACGGTTTGCATTCATTTAATTTGGCTATTATCAAAAATAAAAAGGCTTTGCGCTTGATTGAAGTTTCTAAGGCTGCCTTAGCCCAGGGCTTACCGTGGCACAAAATTATGCAAAATAACGAAAAGCCTTATAATAGAATATACTAGACCTTAGGATGTGGAATTCATAAACTAACCTAAGACCACGAGCTCCACATAGATGTATCCAAGCAAACCGAACCAGAGTTACAATTATTATTACTATTGAAGTTTGTGCGTGGAAACTTTTCAATTCAACTCGATAGCAAAGCGGAAGAAACTGAAAGTCGGTTGGGTATGTGGGAAAGTGCTTCGCATTAATCCATAACAAAAATCAAACTTAGCAGCAACATTAGATTAAGCTGGGACTATTTGACAAGCCAAGTCCGACAAAGTTATGTGCGTTTAAAGTTTGATGTGTCCATTCGGGCTAAGAGCACGAGCTTTTCGGCTTAGGCTCCGTGCTAATCCAATTTGTTGATGCTGTAAAAGCATAATGCAGCTCGTAAATTGTCTTGTGTTGTTGCTCCAACTTAATTATCGAATGGCAGACTCTCATTGCCGCGATCTCGTATGTGCGGAAAATGTTGCGTCTTTGCATCGGAGCGAAAATGCTTTTCGCACCAACATAAAACGTCCGCAGCAGCTGCAAATATCCGCAGGATGCGTTGGCTGTCAATGTGATTATGTCAACGCAATCAGGCAATGATGTCCTCATCTGCCAAGCACACTTCCGTGTTGTTTCTAGCAATTCCAACTGCTGCTGGCGTTCGGCTCTGGGAAATGCTGATACTGTGTATGCAATACGGGGTATACATAAAAGAAAAGCCATATCGTTACAAATCGCTCGCTTGTTTGCGTATCAATGAAGAAATAGCCTTTATTGCATACTTTCCCGCGTGAGTATTACGCACGCACACACACAAAAACAGACACGCACACCCACACAAACACACACACACACACACACACACACACAGACGAAACGCGATGACAAACAATTTCCGTGCTTTTCGCCTTGTGGCTTCCGTTTGTATATATATAGATATATATTTTTATTTAATTTTTTTTTTTTTTTTTT